GGGAGCAGAGTTGGTACGAGGACAGAACCCCATGTCTGCCTGTCCCACAGCCTCCGCCTGACGGGCCCGTGGGTGCCGGCAGGGCCCGGGCCCCCCGCTCCGCCGGCCCCGAGGCCGCGGCGGGGCCCGAGCCGAGCTGGGCGCCCGCGTCTCCCTCCTTCCCTTCCCCGGCGCAGCAGCTCCGTGGGGCTCCGGCCCGCCGCGCCCCAGGGGAATGAGGGAGACCGGCGGGGCGGCGCAAGAAGGGACACCCCGATCACAGCGGGTTTTGTATTTTAGCTTTACTCTCTTCCGGAGGCCAACGAGGAACCCGGCTGCTCCTCGGCTGGCTCACGGGGGTGGCAGATGCCTTCGCCACCCTGCCCAGTTAAGCCCGGGAGAGCTGGAGCAGCACGGAGGAAGGGCGGCGGTGCAGTCGCTAAGACGGGAGCAGGGGGAATTGACAGCTGCCCCTCCTCACCAGACTAAAAAAATACCCGTATGACTTGCAAGTGCACCTGCTTCACTTCCCTGGCCCTGGCCCTGGCAGAGGCCGCCGCTGTCCCTCGGTGGATGAAGGTTCCTGACGGTGCAGCAGCGGCCGCCCGCCGCCTTCGGGGCGCCCCGGGGCAGCTCCACCTCGCTGTTCAAGGGGAGCTCCTCGGGAGCACGCACCACCCAGCGAGGTGTCCTGCCTTTGCAATGGCATTAATTCCTTCAGGAACACGAATAAAGTGTTTTTAAAGAGCTTTCTCATGAGTGCCTCAGGGGAAAAAAAAAATGAAATTACGGGACTAACATCCTCATCTTCATTTCTTGTATCAGAGGTGAAGTGTGAAGGCCCAGAGTCTACAATTCACCAAGTGTTCGGGAGGTCCTGGACAGAGGAGTCCATTTTGGGCTACCAAAAGCACTGGGTACTCCATACCTGGTAGAGAGCATCCACCTTGAGAGTAAATCCATCAACTCCGGGCATGCTGCTCACCGAGTGGAACTCGGACAGCTGGGAAGCAAAGTGGGCAGAGTCAAAAGGCACAGCGTGGAAATACTTACCCGTCACTTCTGTCTGGTTTCGGTGCTGGAAAGTCAGAGAAGTGTGGTGAGGGATGCTGTCTGCTTTCCCAAGGGAGGCTGGAAGCCAGAGCCCCACCAAACACCTGTGTCAGGGATCTAGTCCGAATGCCCCATCTCCACACGTACACGTGGGCACCGATTGAGGAACACACTCAAAGGGTGGGGGAAAACTGATCTGGTGTTCACAGCTGGCAGCAGCAGCAGCAGCAGCAGCACAAAACATCCCCCACGGGCTCCCTTCCTCATCCCTTTGCAGCCACCGCCTGCCGGTTGCCAGAGCAAATCCCAAACGGGAAGAAGCAGGAGCAGAGCACTCACCAGGAGGAGGAATCGGTGCTTCAGGTACTTGTGGGGCTGGATGCAGCCGTACTGGGGCCCCTGGTTGTAGACGGTGCCCGTGGGGTCGAAGAGGGGCACGTGGCCAGCCCTGCCTGTGCACAGGTAGACCTTCTCCAGCTGCAGCTTGTAAGCGGCGTTGAGGTTTTGTTCGGGGGGCCAGAGCACGCGCCGGTACAGGATCTGCCCGGGGGGAGGTCGGGACAAAGAGGGGCAGGTGAAATTTCCCAAGCAGGAAAACGCTGCCAGAGCCAAGTGTCCGTGTTCAGAAGGGTTGGGGTTGTTTGGGAAGGGCTCGGTGTGTGGGAGTGACAAAACGCGGTGCCAGAGCACGCTGTTCTTTCACAGGGCTGTAAGATGTCAATTACTGCTGTAGAAGAGGCAAAGCTACACGTGGGTTCTGCCCTTTCCTCTCCAGGGAATGGAAGCTGTGAAAGCAGAAATGCTGGGCACAGGCAGAAGAGGAGAGGTAAATCCTACCCTTGGATAAAGCCCCCTTGTAATCCATTTCTGCCAGAGACCTTTCCGATTTGGTGGGGTCCATTAGAAAAACCTTCTCGTTGTTACAGAGCTGAAACTCTGTGTTCAGGGAGTAAACAACTGGAAGTGGGCGGTTTGTCTGCCGGAAGGCGATCGGGATCAAAAACCTGCAACTGGGACAAGGAAGGAAACAAAGGGGAGATGAGGTTTGGACGGGTGTGCACCCCAAAGGGGCCGAGCCTGCCCTCCTGCCCTCTTACCGCTCGGGAGCGTGAGCCGGGCAGGGCAGGGCAGGGGCTTGGCTCCAGGCTCTGCCCACGGCGGCGTGAGCTGCACCGTGCAGGGCATCAGGAAGATGGTGTATCCTCCAGAGTAATCCTTCCTGGGAACAGACAGAAGACCCTGCAGCCACCAAGCACAGCTCAAAGCCCTTCACCCAGGGCAGCACCTCTCCCTTGCCCCAGCAATGTCATCCAGCAGTCCCCGAGGGACAAGTGTGACTCTGGGATCAGTCTATCCACAGGCCGCACTGCTGGAAACATTCCTTTCCAAGAGGCTGAGCTGATTTTTCTCGCAGTACAACGGTGCTCCAGCTCTGACCAAGCTCCTGAGCATTCCGTGCTATTGCTGGCGTGGCTGCTGGAGGGGTGCCAGGGAGAACGTGCTGCTGTGGGGGAAGCTGCTGGAGGGGACTGCACCCCCAGCCCTCACCTGTTGTAGGAGCTGGTTGCTCTCCAGAGCTGGTAGGGAGAATCAAAAGTCTGAGCGCTCCACAGCAGCTGCAGGGCAAATTCGATGCCTCCCAGGTGCTCTGGAGTTACCAAAGAGGACCTGACACCTGGCAGGCTGTGGTGCTCCATGACAAACAG